ACACCCGTGCAGATGCCCGTTGTTCCCACTGGAGAAGTACCACTACGAATTCTACCTGCTGAAGTGCGTATCGCGATACAGACCATGAAGACATCCACGGCTCCAGGAACTTCTGCGAGCCGGAGGACACCGTCTACACGAGATTCTAGCGTCGCATTTGACATCTTACCATTTGATTCAACTGGCTTGGCATCGGCAAAGGCGGGGCTTTGTGACCTAATTAAGGCTAGGTAATGATCAGAGAGCACTCGCGCGAGAGAGACGCAGGTGCGTCGCGGGCGCGAGCGGCCTCAATTAGATCGAAAAACCCCGCCCTAATGGTGCCAAGCCAGTTGAATCAAATGTTACCTTCAGAAGGAAAAGATTCCCGACCAGTGGAGAACGTCAAGAACCGTCCTTCTCTTCAAGAAGGGTGAACGGGAGGATCTTCAGAACTATCGTCCAATATGCCTGCTGAGTGTGATGTACAGGCTTTTTACGAAGATTATCCTCGCTCGCATATCAAGGACGCTGAATGAAGCCCAACCCCAAGAACAAGCTGGATTTCGCAAAGGATTCAGCTGCATGGACCACATCCAGACCGTTTCGAGGGTCATAGAAGTCTGCCGGGAGTACCGACTGCCTCTCGTCCTAACCTTCGTCGACTACGAGAAAGCCTTCGACAGCGTCGAAACCAACGCCATCCTCTCAGCGCTAGTCGATCAAGGAGTGGACCCAGCCTACGTGAGGACACTAGCCAACTGCTACAAGGACTGTACAACAACGATGCAGCTGTTCCATCGCCCCCTGACCATACCAATCGGGAAGGGGGTCCGACAAGGCGACACAATCTCGCCGAAGCTGTTCACCGCGGCCTTGCAGTGGGTGATGAAGTCACTGGACTGGGACGAGAGAGGCATACGAGTTGATGGGAGATTCCTGTCCAACTTTCGTTTTGCGGACAACATCGTTCTCTTCTCGAGCAGTACTACCGAAGCAGAGTAAATGTTGAAGGAACTGAACGAAGTAGGGAAGAAGATCGGACTGCGAATAAATTGGAAGAAGACTCAGTTCATGAGGAACGCCCTTTGCAAAGATGCAGTAATGGAATTGGAAGACATCCCTATTATGGAGACGTCTTCTTACGTATATCTCGGACGTTCGATGAACATGGAGAACGACTTGAGGGAAGAACTTAACAGGAAAAGAAGAGCAGCCTGGGCCGCCTTCCGGCCTCTGAAGGAAGCCACCGACCAACTGACGGACCCGGAGCTTCGTGCCCACCTGTTCGACTCAACCGTTCTCCCGGCGCTCTGTTACGCAGCTGAGACTTAGGCCAACACTGTAGCCACGTCGAAAGCTTTACGGACCACCCACAGAGCGCTCGAGCGCAGTCTTCTGAAGATGACCCGACGCAAGCAATATCTAGTCGGACTTCGCAGCACGGATATGAGAAGAATGTCCCGTTTTGTGACCCAGCGGAATATATTGCGAAAGCCAAACACCGATGGGCCGGTCACATAATGAGAAGAACAGACGACAGATGGACACTAAGAGCATCTGAGTGGATTCCTCGTGAAGCCAAACGTCCTCGAGGAAGACCACCGACTAGATGGGCAGACGTGTTCGTGGAAAGGAAAAATCGTATCCAGCTGAGAAATCAGCTGGATACGATTTTCGTCCCTGGAACTCGTGGACGCAGCCACCGACGACGGCCAAGAAGATCGTGGATGTCTGAAGCGAGGAGCAGGGAAAAATGGCAATTTCTGTACTGGGGCCCGCACGTCACGTGAGGACGGGCCATCTAAGTATCTAAGTAAGCAAGTAAGGCAAAGCTTTCGGACCAACCTAATACTTTGAAGGCAGTATCTGGGCAAAACTCGATTTTGAGATTTTGTGCTTATCCGGACCTATTCACTATGCTGAATCCGAAAATCTACACTGGAAAGCCTGAAAACGGCGAAAAAAGGTTCTAACGCAGGAGGGGAATCAGAAGTGGGTGGGGTCTTTCCCATTGTGGATTCACGCTCCTAGATTTCGGAGCGGCCTTCTTGATTTCACTAGCCGTCGTAACATCGCTACCGGCTAAGTGCGAATAAGTGACTTGAAGCCAGAAGCGAGATAGATACGGAAGCTAGGAGCGTGTATTAGCAGTGGGGAGAACCCCGCCCATTTGCTAATTTCGCTCCTGTGTTAGAGCCGTTTTTCGCCGTTTTCGCTCTTTCTAATGTGCATTTTCGGATTCAACGTAGCGTTTTCTTGCATCCATACGCCTGGTCGCATGTATGTGTGCATGCATCCACGCAATAAATATAAAATGTGCAAGCCCCGCCCCATGTGGCAAGCCCCGCTCACTCGGCCAAAAATGTCGAAAATTGCCCAAATTTTAAGAATTCATGGGAATTCTGCCACTTTTGAAAAAGGGGCGGAGCTTGCCACTTAGGGGCGAAGTTTTCCTGACGGTGGGCGGGCCTGGTTAAAAGTTGCTTGAGGTCTTTGCGTTTATCTACGGCCTCATCTATTCTTTTTACGAACAAAAAGGGTCCTTGTGAAAGGCATAGGAGTGGGCGGAGTTTGCCAAAAGGGACGGGATCAATACATGAAGTACATCTAAGCCTATGTTGATTTTATGAACAGAAACTGAAAGGATTGGACAGATAGTATCGAAATTAAGGACGCCGCGCACCATTATGCGGCGTCGTCCACAGGGACAGACTACCTGCCGCGCACCATTGCGCGGCACTGTCGTCAAGTGTTAAGCAGGAACTAGATCAGACTGTGTTCCAGATGTTCTACCGGTCACCTTCCCGTAACATTACGCCAGCTAACTTTTCCTTTGAGCACTCACAACTCAGACACTGGGAGCGGCCAAGCCGCGGACCTTTTCTGGCTGGAATTTCGCAGCGTCCGCGGCCCGGCCGGAGATGGGCCGCGGCTCAGCCGATTGTGGGCCTCGGCTCAGCCGGAGCTGGTTGTCGGGCCGTCTAGTTCATTCTAGCTCGGATACAGTAGAATGTTTTTTTATTCACTGGCACACAAAATATACACAGCAAAAAAAACAAAAATTTAAGCCACCGATATAGCGGCTTCGGAAAACAAGTCCGACTTCAACATTGGACAAAACAAGTTGCTATCCAAGGTTCTGCAACATATTGATCTTGTTCCCGCCTTGGAGACTGGGAAGACAACGAAGGTTATGGACATTGAGGGCAGCCTGACCATGCGTCGTACATCACGCAAGTATTCTTTACTCAGGTACTGGAAGCGGCCGCGCCGCGGACCATATCTGACATGGGCCGCGGCTCGGCCGGAGTTTCATTATAGAGATTTTGGTCCGCGGCTCAGCCGTTGCAATGCTCCACCCCCACTGAAGCGAAGAAGACCCTAAGATTAAGGCCGCGGCTGAGCCGGTAAGCCATATTCAGTCCGCGGCTCGGCCGGTGCAATAATACCACATGAATTAAGGTCCGTGGCTCGGCCGCACTTCGGCCACGCCCACAAATTAAAGCCGCGGACGGGCCGGAAAGCCTTTTGAGGCCGCGGCTCGTCCGGTCCCAGTGTCTGAGAAGCAAGTTAATTTTTCTTTACGTCTTCTTTGTCTGTGTAAACCAGGCTACGGCGACGGATTCCGGTAGGCAGCCCATATTATTGCTGAGCTGACTGGCCACTTTACTGCCAGTTCACCATGCAATCTTATAGCACTGAAGCGAAGAAGACCCTAAGATTAGCCTTTGGATTTCATCTGAGCGGGTCAGCCCAGGTCATCTGAGCGGAATCGAATTTACCGTAAACCACTATAAAGCTAGGTGCTTTTTGTTATTCAGAGTATAATTTAAAGGCAGCGTCCGGGCAAGAAGTCGCTTTGAGATTTTGAATCGCGGGTCGCGATCAAGAGAAACCAGCAGACATTGCTGTATTTCCGTTATCCGGACCCATTTTCTCAAGAGGCTCTTATAAAATGCGTTCTGTAATTTTAGAACAATTTTTATAGATTCTACAAAAACTGCCTCTCTTTCACGTGTCAGGAAAAAATTGACACGTTCTAGTCCATTTTGACATGTTTTTTCGAAATCATTTCCGGTGAGATGAAAGAGCATTTGTAATCACCTAGAAGCTGTTCAGTTGATTCTATAAGAGCAAAACAATCTAGAACCGTTATCAAACTATCTTAATTGCTTCAAGCAATAATGTAAGAATGTACTTCTTTTCAAACTTCCCGCCTTGCGAGTTTAGCCAGCAAAGTCTATAAATGATGGCTTGAAGTAGTACTCAGTGCTGGTTGTTCCCCCGCTTATTGCTAGATGATGGAACCTTAGGCACCTCTCTATTCTGGCCCTGTCTCGTTTGTTCATTGATAACAGGCTGACGTTATTATTATAACAAAAGTTCATTTTCAAAAGTTCGCTCGCAAATGTTGTCATTATTGAGTAAAAAGCAGGTTGAACTTGTATCGTTGATTAGGGTAATACAAACTCTTGTAGAACTTGTCGAACATGTAGATGGCATGTCAACTTTTTTACACGTGGCAGAAAAATGGCACTCCTTCTTATGAAATTGGGACCAAATATGGTGCAAGGATAAAAGCATTATCATTTTTTGAAAAAATGGGTTCGAATAACGGAAAAGTAAATGTATGTAATGCAATGTAGTTTATGTAGTTTCAATGTTTTTTACGTATGCTTTACTCATTGCCCTTTTTGGGTAATAATTAATCTTCCTGTGAATTCGCTTCCCATAAATTAGTTATCATCGCTAGTGTTTGGAGTTTGGACGGCAAAAGCAGGATAATCGGCACTAAAACACCACTTTATGGTGTTTCAGTGCCGATTATCGGCTGTCGTCAAAGAAAAGGACCAGGACGAGGACCAGTTGCCATATACCTATACCAGCATGGGTTTTTCTTACTTTGATCATTTCACACAAGACATCGGAGAAAGAAGGTCGATCACGGAATAGGATCTTAAGATCAAGCACATAGTCAGGAACACGGGAACAAGAAGTCACCGTATCTAGGTAAACAAATGGTTGGACGTACAGGATTAGCAGTAGCGAAAGCGCTACTGACGCGGCCTTGCCGCAAACTCAAGGTTTTAGCAGAAGAATGTGAGGCAGCAAAGGAGAGCCTTAACGATGAAGTGGAAGATGGCATCCAAAGCAAAGCGATAGAATTGGAAGAAATGACAAAGTAAATTTTGATAGGCCTGTCGAAATTTGCGGAGGTTGTGGATTCTACGAGCGAGGTGACTGAGGAGCAAGATCAGAAGATGTAAGATTATCTGGAGAAAGCTCGGCAGTGACTGACCATGCCGAAACTGTCACAATTCAACTGGAATTTTTAAGGACGAGTCTTGAACGCAAAAACGCAAGAACGTTCAACACAACAGCTCTCAGCATGGGAAACGGCATGGGAAACGTGGAAATAACATGGCCAAAATCACCAGCCGTTCCAGATTCCACGTTTGCGGGTGAATCAAGGGAGTTTGAGAACTTTTGGAAATTGTTTCAAGCCAACGTAGACAAACAACCGTTCAGCAAACTACAAAAGCAACTATCTTATAAACTCTCTACAAGACGATGCGCGCGAGCTTACTCGTCGCTTCATTGTTGCCGAGGATAATCATGACGAAGCGGTTGCGATGCTACATCGCAAATACGGAGACAAAAAAGACTTATTGAAAAGCTTCAGCTTCGTCTCTAACAAGTTCGTGCTGATTATACGAGAAAGGAGTCTCAACGTTGGCTATTGAAAAATATCATACCTCTGGTGTCCCAGCTTGAAGCGCATGGAGTTTATCTGGGGGGTTCATACGCTTCGCAGAAGCTTCTGCTCAAGTTAAATGTTGTCCAGCAGTGGTTGGACACAAAAGTTTGGACGGCAGAACCAGGATAATCGGCACTGAACCACCACTTTATTTTGTGCTTACCTGCCTTGTCGCTATGCTGAGTCAGAAAAGTAAGAAGAGCCAAAAACGCGAAAAATAGCTCTAATGCGGCAGGGAATTAGGAGAAGGGCGCCTTTCACTCTGTTAAGTCACTCTCCCAGCTACAGGAGCGATCTTCCGTTGGCCGCCCTAACCTCGTTACGGGCCAAGTTCAAATGCGTGACTCTAACTTGGAAAGTCGCTGGAGAGTGACTTTGCAGAGTGGGCCCACTTGCTCATTCCCTCCTGCGTTAACACGTTTCGGACCGGTGCTGCACATGGTGCAGCACGCTGCTTTGAGGAATCTTTCTGGCGTTTGCAGGAGGTTTCCTTTTAGTCTAAAGTTGTTATGTTGAAGGTCTAACCTCCTACTTTTCAAATGACTCTGTAGAGTTGTGCCGCCAATATTTGTTTAGGAGATATAAGCACAAATCGAACAACAGTTGCAACGAAGTGCGGCGACGCGAACGACGCGTGCGACGTCGCAACTTTCTTTTGCTTCGATAGCAAAGAGAAAAACCGTAGTTTCAATACTGATGTGTGCCGTGTACAACATAGATACTTTTGAATACTATTAGAATCTGAGTTCTTGTCCCTATATTTCAAGAAAGCACAAAAGTCCCTCTCAAACGACAAAATTCAAACACTTCGAATTCACTCAGAACTTCGGATATGGAGCTTATCTGACATGCTGATTACAAATGTGGCCTAAGGCTGCGAAATAAGGTCCCTTTGTAGGCTAACGGCTGAAAGTACACTCTTTTTCGCCGCGCGCGATTTCGCGGTCCGAAAGGGGTTAAAGGCTTTTTGCGCTTTCTTTCCACTTTCCGTCTGTTTCGAATTGAGCATAGCGAATAGCCCAAGTAAGCACAAAGCCTCAAAATCGAGCTCTGAACGGATACCGCCTCTAAACGCAATAAAAATGGTGTCACATTGTTGGAATTAGAAGGAAGTAAGCGTATTTTCCGGTGCCCGCCTGCCCCCGGCATTGTCTGAGTACTTGTCACGCCAGCATTGTCGACATGGCAAACGCTCACATGAGAGAGACCTCTTTCGTTGGTTTTTATAGAAGTACATCCAAAGCATCATAAGGCCAAACAAGAGCGAACGAGCCCAACAAATGAGAGAGAACTTGATGACTGTTTGTTGTGGTCAACTGGTAATTTACCACTCATTTGATCATTCAGGGGTTCCATATGTATTCCAGACGGGCAAATGAAGCTGCCAACTTGGATGATGAAGGACCGATGTTTGGAAAATTGAACTTCAAATATAAGGCAAGCATTAGTGGATAGCTTTCTTCAGTTTGGCCGAACTTTGAGTAAATAATGATTTTGTGTGAATTCGGCAGTCATTGAGGAAGATTATGGTTCAAAAATGTTACTTCAGAAAGAAAAGCGAAAGCTGTGTAGAATGCATGAACGCAATCAGATCTCTAATGACGAGGTTTGTAGTTCTTTGAAAAAATCAACGAAAATGCTGTGACAACCTGATAGATGAGATTAAGTGCCAAGATTTGCAATTACAGAATTTTAGGGAGGGGAGGGGGGAATTGGGATGCACCCTCCTCAAAGTTCCATCTCGCGCACAGGTGCGATAAGGTGAGAATGACCCATCCAGGGTGAAGGGGGTCACAGCGGTCGCAGCCCCTCCGGGCGAAGGGTGTTTCAGTTGATCGAGAAATCATAACACGTTGGCCGGGGGGGGGGGGGAGGGGGGAGAGAAGGGAGAAAGGTGATGGTGTTTCCTTATTTTTCCAGATCAAAGTTTATCATATTAAGATTCATCAGTGGTTGTCTTTTTACCAAGTATGCGGAGACTGAAGTAGGATTGGAACCACCCTGTATGTTTTCTTATTATAGAAAATGTGTATGCGAGAACATCTCTTTCGGAAAGAGGTAGACAATTTTCAAGCATTTACGAATTTTAAAAAGGAAAAAATCTGTAACTTCTGTAGATGAACAGCAACATCAGCAAGAAAGTTGTTTTCAAAACCATCCTTCCTTTAGCTTTCATGAAATATATAGTTTGCTAAGGTCCTTTCAAAAAGTATAAGGGTTCTAAATTTTCGGGTATTTACGAACTTTTAGCTAAAAAAAACATAACTTCTGAAGATGAACATCTTGTGCGACGAGATAATTACCATCGGAACCGTCTCGTCTTCCGCTTTCAGAAAATATATACCTTGCCTGGGATCCGTCAGAAAAAGTGTCTGGGTAGAGTATGTCTTAGTGATTTCTAGAGATTTCGTTTTTAACATACAAAATTTCTAGCTTTTGTAGATGAACATATTTTACGCCGCGATGGTCACCATTGAAACCGCCCTTGCCCTCCGCTTTCAGAAAATATATACTTTGCCTGGGATCTATTAGAAAAAATGCCGGTGGAGGGTGGGTGAGACTTTTATAATGGGCATTTTTCTCCCACCCCTTTTCAAATTTAATCGCCTGTTTGTGTTTCATTTTTGAGGTGGTGCACCTTTACGATGTATTTAATAAATAAATAAATAAATAAATAAATAAATAAATAAATAAATAATAAATAAATAAATAAGATGTTCACTTTCAGAAGTGATGGATTTTTTTTATATTGAAAATTCGAAAATGTCCAGAAATTACTACTCACACCCGTCACCAAGCACTTTCTTCAACAGACTCCTCCTTTCCTATACATAAACAATTCACGTACAAATATCTCCTTTGCTTAACCTTACTTCATTGTTGATTTTTTTCTCGGCTTTGGGTGAAGGGGGTCACCTTGGTCCAGGCTCAGGGGTGAAGTGGGGGTGAGAAAATTCTCAGACTATCGCACCTATGATCTCGGGTGAACGCTTTATGCTTTTTTCATGTTTTATATCTTAAAAGCCTCTGAGCTGTTGCAAGTATTAGCTTAAGTCTTTGCGCTTTCAAGTAACATTTTACATATAAGTTTGTCGTTTAGATGTTCAATGATCCCAAAAGACTTAAACTTTTGCGTCATGCATCGCTTTTGATTCATTATCGATTAAGATCAGGGCCCTGCACGAGCTGGAAAACCCTAAAAAGAATGAAACGTTGACTAAAAAAGTCGCCCATCTTTTCGGCCACAAAAACGATATCCCCTTTGCTTTTTGTTCCTTAAAAGATATCCAACTTGCCCGGTGCCAACTGGTCCCAGGCGCTGATTAAGATACAAATTTACAAAGTAGTAAATTGTACTATTAACTTTTCTGAGACGCTGCTATTCATAAGGCCTGCTTTTCTAACAAAACGTGCTCGAAAGTTGACCGGATACACCATTATCTTTTCTTGATGTCTTCAAAGAATGAGTGCAACATCCTGACAAATTTCAAAATCTTAGAAATTTAGTTTTTGCGCTGTATTAATCTAATCGCCGCTAAGGTCCTTAACTTTTCTTTTTTTTCGAAAACTAATTTCTAAGCTTTGGCAGAACCAGGAAGCAGAATTTCGGCTATCTCTTACCAGAAATTGGATGGTCTGGAGTGCGTGCTTTAAAAGCAGTGTCCAGGCAAACTTGGACACATGGGTTTTCTGCCTGGAGACTGATAAGCAGGCCATAACCAAGGCACTCTCCAAACGGCAGCGCAAAGGATTCACCTGCGCCGTGACCACAACCAGGAAATGACTTCGCTTACTTCAACACTACGCTAGCGCTGGGACCCATCCTAACTTACTTGTGATTTGCGGTCACGGCGCAGGTGCGAAGTGTTTAAGGAGATGGCTTTCTCACCATGAATGAATAATTTGCGCTGCCGTTTGAGCAGTGCCTTAGCTAGACCCCTCTTCAGTTTCCAGGCAAAAACCGCATGTGCCCAGGTTTGCCTGGGCTCTGCTTCTAAGAAGTGAGGCAATCGTGAGGCAATCTGTAAACCTGCTAAGATGTGCTATAGTGTCAAAGCAGAGCAGATGATATCGCTCTAAATGCCGTTTGTCAAAATTTCAAAAGCGGATTTGTAATAACTTCTGGCAAGTGCCATCCTGGCCATGATGCATTCAAACCACGTATAGAAAAGGTGGCTCTCGCAAAAGAAGTTGATTGCGCACCGACGTGTTTGTTTTCTCTCCAGACATTCCTTTATTAATCACCAGTTTTTCTAATTCCTAGGTGCCTATCAAATAATGAGAGGGCTCAATGAAAGTTAGCTAGTCAAAAACGCCTTCTTAGGCTTTATTGATTCCCCTGAAATTATTTCGCAGGAAAAAAACGCACTACGAAAGTGTTGCCAGAGGTTTTCTGAACACTGTGAAATTTATTTGGTGGAAAAAGGTTGAATTTTAAGAAGTTGTGCTCGTTCAAACGGATGGTGCGAAAACGAAAAGAATTTCCGAATGACCTGATATTATAAAATGAGAGATGAAAATGAAGGGGAAGAAAGAGTAAAAATTGCGTGGTTCGATTCAAAAGAAACGCCTTTCACAGATGGAATCCCACAGAGGAAGCCTCTAACTTTCTTCGAATTATATGTGTTGTCCTCCTCGAATACGACCTGAAATCCTCCCTACTCTCCATGCAGATAATTCAAAATGTGCATCATCGCTTTCATAAAGCGCCCCCAATGCAGGAATAGGCACGAGCTACATTCAGAAAAAGAGAGGTCTAAAAGTGCATGTAATCCACCTGCCATTGGCCCAACCCTGCAACTCGCAGAGATATAAGGGCGCAAACTTGCCTTATTGACAGATTTCCCAAGTTCGGTCAGTTAAGCACTTTTATTAGAGATTTGTTCCTCTAAGACCTTTACTTTGAAAATCGTATTTTTAGAGATCTGTCGAATAAAACAAACCTAAACCCCATATTTCTAATATTCGCAGAGTTATTGACCCTCC